GATATGGGGGTCTTATAGACATGAACCAGTGTCGAGTTTATTAAAGTTAAAGCCTGTCTATCATGCGTTTGTTAATCAAACGGTCAGTAGCCCAACTGAGATCCTCGAAAGTTATCGTCTTTTACGACCGGTTTGATATGTTAGGGATGGAGAAGAAAAAGGCAGCCGGCTGTAAGAAACAATAACTTTCGAATTATATATGTGTGTGTGTGTGTGTGTGTGTGTGTGTATATATATATAATTATGTATTTTTATGTATATATGGAAAATAGGTACGCGGCGACTTGAGCTCGCTTCATTGGGTTGAGGGTCCTATACGTCCTGAAACTAAACAAAAGAATTTGATTCATGTAGTATATTCGCCTATCAACTTCAAAGATGTCATGTTGACTACAGGAAAACTGACTCCAGACACGACCACAATGCGCACTCGATTCAATGAGTACTCAATTGGCTTGGAATATGCTGGTATCGATATTGCTGGCCGTCGTGTGATAGGACTTTGTGAAAATAGGTAATATTTTTCGAGTGAAAACACTCCTCGCACACATTTTCAAAGTTACATAACTACTTCATAGTTTAATTATTTGCCTTTATTGTTTAAAAAACAAAATGGCATGGCACATGTTATAGTTATATAAAAGCATCATATTTCTTAACAGTTAAAAACATGTTTTTAAAAGTTTACTAACTTTAATTATAGTTTATACTAATTATCTTTAATTAACATTACGATCTTTTCCTTAAAATATCAATGCATCGATTCTAAAAAATCTAGAAAATAGATTAGTATTGATGCGATAACATATGTATGTTCTTATATTATATGTACTTTCAGAGGCATGTCAAATATATTAATACCTGATAAAGACTTATCCTGGTACGTGCCTGACAATTGGTCATTGGAGGATGCAGCTACCGTACCATGTGTATACACGTTGTGCTACTATGCACTATACATACAAGGTGAGATAAAAAAGGGAGACAAGGTACTCATTCACTGTGGCACCAGCGGCGTTGGTCAAGCGGCGATTCATCTCGCTCTTCACGAGGATTGCGAGATCTTTACTACCGTGGGAACGCCCGAGAAACGCAAGTTTATCCGCGAGATGTTTCCGTCTATCCCCGATGATCATATCGGTAGCTCGCGCAATACTACTTTCGAACAGATGGTTCTTACGCAAACGAAAAGCTACGGTGTAGACATCGTTCTCAACTCATTGCCTGGAGAGAAGCTCCAAGCATCGGTTCGTTGTCTCGCGCAAGGCGGTCGTTTTCTCGAGATTGGCAAGTATGATCTTACCTCGAACAATTCTATAGGAATGATGATTTTCCTGAAGGAAGTCAGTTTTCATGGAATTATACTGGAGAATGTCTTCGACACAAACATAGAAGATAAGATAAATTTGAAAAATTATTTGGCCGAGGGTTTGAAGAACGGAGCTATTAAGCCGCTTGTCAGAAAGATTTTTGAAAGGAACGAAGTGGAAGCGGCTTTCAGATACATGACGGCTGGACAGCACATGGGCAAAGTAAGGAAAAAATTAATTAATAGAATACCATAATTCTCTAGTTATTTTTTAATTCCCTCAGTCGGATATTGCCAAATTAAATATATTCGAAGAAAAATATTCGAATTTAATCTATGTCAAAATATTACATGTTTTTTCATAGGTAATCTTAAAGATTTGCGACGAAAAACAGGCTGGAAAGGTACCTATTCTTGCTCAGCCTCAATATTACTGCGACGATAATAAAAGCTACCTTATCCTAGGTGGATTAGGCGGTTTCGGATTGGAATTGGCCGATTGGCTGATACTCCGAGGTGCCAAGAATCTAGTGTTAACATCGAAAACAGAAATAAAGACCGGTTATCAGCGTATGAGGACCGATTTATGGAAATCGTATGGCGTGAACGTGCTGATTATAACGGGTGCAGATGCTGCAAACCGTAAAGATTGCGAATTTATATTAAAATCCGCAGAAAAACAAGGTCCTGTGGACGCTATTTTCAATCTTGCCGTGGTACGGAAGGATAGCATTTGTAAGAATCAAACACCAGAGTCGTTTGAGGAGTCTTTTAAAGCGAAAGTTTGGTCCACCAAGGCGCTAGATGAGCTATCTAGAAAGCTGTGTCCGCGACTTCGACAGTTTGTAGTATTCTCCTCGGTTTCCTGCGGACGAGGAAACGCTGGACAGACGAATCATGGTATGGCCAATTCCGTGATGGAGAGAATCTGCGAGCGCAGAGTGGCGGATGGCCTGCCAGGATTGGCCATTCAATGGGGCGCAATCGGCGATGTTGGCTTTGTCGCCGAGTTGCAAGATGATAATAAGGAATTAGTTATTAGCGGTACCTTGCAGCAAAAGTTATCCTCCTGCCTCGAAAAACTAGAGGACTTTTTGTTGCAAAATCGTCCAGTAGTGTCCAGCATGGTGGTGACTGAAAAGCATGTCGATGGTAATGCCAGTGTTGCTGAGACTATAGCGAATATAATTGGTAAGATTATTGTTGTTTTAAGATTACAGCTTTCGGATTTATGCAGGGCAGAAATGCACCTGTTGCATTTGCACTACTTATGCGACATTAGAGGATGTTAAATTCTGTCTTTGATAGAGTCTACTAGATATCCTTGATAGAGCATTGATATAAAACTTAATAATTAATATGAAAAAAATTGTTCTTGAATAAATCAAATAAGATCATCATATATCGATTTTAATTATATTTCTTGATACTTTTATAGGTGTGAAAGATATCAAAACTACGTCTGAGGATATATTGTTGACCGAGTTTGGAATGGACTCGAGGATGGCCGTAGAGATCAAGCAAACGCTGGAACGTAAGTTTGACATTTTCCTCACTGCGCATGATATTCGCACCTTGACTTTTGCCAAATTGGCTGAGATATGCGGTAAGGACGAAGAAAGGGAGAAAACGCAAGCGCAGATTGACGAAGAGAAGGCCCGTATACTTAGCAAGCAACTGTTGATCCGGGTCACGAATAACGAGGACATGATTCCCGACATTTGTATCGAATTACCGACTAGGAAGGATCTACGCAAGGTCGAGGTATTTCTCTTACCGGGCATAGATGGATGCGGACATATATTTAATCCACTGGCGTCGACAATCAGACCGGTAGCGACGGTCTTGCAATATGGCACGAATAATATCGGGCTCGCTTATGGAAGTATACCAGAATATGCCGATCATCTTTTACCGGTGCGTATATACTCCGTCCAGCGAGAGAATGACCTCGGTCTGCGCATAGGCGGGTAAAGTGGGGAGAATATAGTGAGGTACTCAATACCGTATACGTAGATACGGCTTCTGTGGGTGGAGATCTGCGCGAAATGGACGAGTTTTCGTCTGACCTGAGGTCATTCTCTCGCTGGACGGAGTATAGGAGAAAACACAAACGATACAAATAAAATTAATATTAGTTACATATTTCTCTGAATGTATCGTTATATAGACAAGTGTTTAGCTATGCGTTTCTGATTGACATGTGTGCATTATGGAAATTTTCAGTATGTTTTACCAAAGGCAGAAAAGCAAAGAACTTTCATTTTAATTGGATATTCGTACGGCTCATTAGTCGCCATCGAATTGGCGAGACGATTGGAAAAACATGGCTTGAACGGTCAGTTAGTGTTGATTAACGGTGCACCTGATCTAATGAAAGCGATGATAGAGCAATATTTACCATCCCAAACGCAGGAGGAACTTCAGAACAATATTTTGCTCTATATCATGAATAATCTACAACCAGCCGCAAGCGAGAAGGTAGATTTTATCATCGGTTGCTAAAATATTTCTACTCTTCCCCTAATTTTCTTGTCTTATTAACATTTATTTCTATTTTGCAGCTATTTTTAGATCTCGATAAATGTACGACCTGGGAGCAGAAATTGGATAGCTTTGTTTCACACCTTGCTTCTGATAACATACTTTCCGTTGAAAACCAAAAAGCGCTATGCACAACTTTATACAGTCGTATCCTTGCTCTTCAAAAGTACGACGCCTTATCTTTGACACAGATTCGAGCGCCTATAATGCTCTTGAAACCTATGGAATCATTTACCCATATGGCTAAAGAAGATTATAGTCTGCAGAAGGTAGTCTTTTCTTTGAATATTTTTTAAAATGTCCCCATTTTTCAATTTTTGAAATCGAAACTTGGTAATACCATACAAAAATGTATAAACCAGTACCAAATATAACTATAAACTATTTTTTAGATTACGCGAGATAAGGTGAAAGTGCATTACATTGAAGGCAACCATGTTACAATGTTGGATAACGATAAAATTATAGCCGCGATCAACGGAGAATCGTTGATCGATCCTGAAGAATTTAAAAAGCTCTTAAGCGAAGATCGGCCACTCGATTACGAAGAGCAAGAAGCTTAAATTATAGCTAGACTATGTTCTCTAATACATGTTTGTTTATGTTAAAAAAAGAGGGAAATAAATATATAAATATATATTCAATTAGTAAATGTTTACTTTAGTTTAACAATTGCAGGTGGAGATTTCTTAATAAATAACGAACAATGACTAAAAAAAAAAATCTCTTAAAGGTTACTTGGGATCGTGACTTTGATGATGTACATCAAGATTAAGATCATCTGCAGGTGTTATACTAAAGTAAACATTATAAATGTATCTGGAATTTATTTATTGAAACTTCAGAGATAATGTAGCTAGAACGCAAAAATTTATGATTATTTTAACTATGCTTATTTCTAATATTCGAAAAAAGACATTAAAATTCTGGATACAGTGTTTTATTGTGTAATAATCATATTTTAATGCAAAATTAATATATATATATATTTTCAATTATTCACACGTAAATAATTATTTATAATTACGTTATAATTATTTATCAGTTAATAGTTAGCTTTTATTCGTTCAACATTGCATGCAAAATATAAATCGTAAAAATATTAGCGATATATCATAAGTTTCTTAAAATTTCGTTTTATTAAAAGAAAAAAAAAAAAAAAAAAAATACAAATAAAAAATGATAGACATAGTCCATAGGTAGACGGTCCTTTGTTGAATTATTTCTCGATTTCAATATATATTAATTCAATATATATAGTGGTTATATGTAAAAATAATCTCTTCCTATCAATAATGATTTATGGCTATTCAACATAAATTTTTTATAATGATATATAACATAAACGACATAAATAAGAGAAACTGTAATACACAAAAACTGATGATACACATAATATACGTATACATACGTACAATATAGAGAAAAATATCATATTTAAATAGTAAAATCTAAATAAAGTACACTGAAGCAACACTCACAATCAGAATAGAACGAAAATAGCGACGTATTTCGAATTTACGTTTCAAAAATCGAATTCTAATTTACATTCGAATTCACATTCCAATTATCATTCAAACAATTATTTTACAAATAGGAGATAAGTCATGTTACAAAGCTTCATATTTTTCATCCCTTATTCTAATCTACTTTACATCTTACAGATTATTGAAACGTTTTCAGCTTAGAGTAATACAATATTTATATTTATATTTTTCTTATTTTTAATATATATGGAGATAAAATGTGTGTACTATACCGATCTAAAGATTTTCATAACTCCATTGGCTCGAATGTTGATAGGGCACTAGATGTTATGTTATTTAAGTCGGGAGTAGCATCGTTGTTGTTATTATTATTATTATTATTATTATTGTCGCCCGATGTACTTGGGATTGGCGTTGGAGTATCTCTCGTTGGCAGGATACGAAGATGTCTATTTGGTGGCTCCCATAGGACTACAGCCATGGAGGGCCTTTCTCTGAAAGAGAAAAACCAGACAAATGTAGCTGCTTTGGAAAAAAGATATAAGTATATTTATTATATATACATATTTTTACGTTTTCTCTTCTTTCCATTAAATATAGAGCATTGTATTTTTGTAATGTCAATTAATGGCAATGTATACTTACAATTTAGACAGAAGAGTCGATGGCAAAATAGGTTCCTCTTGTATTCGCTTGAGTTCCTCTGAAAGGACTAACCTCGGATGTACGTCAGTCAGTTGTTCACCATTTATTGCATTTCTTCCATCAACATCCAGATCCATATCCAATTGCCTATGAGAGCAAGATGATGAAGTTGATGGTACTGGACTCTCAGTTTCATGAATGGAACTAATGCGCAAACTTTTGAAATGTGCAGTCATTTTTTCCTCTGTTATAAACTGCTTGCTTTGATGCCTGTTTAAAAAAACGACATAATGTAGGATTTTATCACATAAAAAAATTGCATTTGAAGCAATATGCATTTAAACTATACAGCACTTACATATCTACAACATCCGGCGCTTCCAACTTTCTTTTCTGATGGAGTATTGGTCCAGAACTGGTTTCTCCGGTAAATCTAATCAACTCTTGTTGTTGTAGAGCTGGTACGCTCCACGGAATAGTTATTGGCGGTACCTGTGGCATATGCATCCAAGATCCAACTTGTCGCTGCTGCGGATTTTGCTGATCCATCATCTGTTGAAAGATGGACTGTGGCATACATAAGTGTGCTCCACCCATGGTATTCTGAGAGACAGGAGACATATACAAATAACAAAGACATTACACTCAGACGGATAAAATTATCTCCACAACATCAAAAAAACTGTATAATATCTTTGTCTATTTAAATTCGCCTCAAGATAAATCAAATCCGCTTACTGTCATTTGGGATGTACTTGGTTGTACTTGAAGTACGTTCCAATTTAAATGGGAGTTTCGTGGATCCAGGATATTAACGACTATCTGAAGAGATCACATATATTAGCACGACATCTGTTTTTACTTTGCAAGAATTATAAAGTCAATAACAAATAAATAAACACTCTGCTTTTGACAATAAATCGTTTTAATTAGACGCTAACCTATATATCGTTTTGGAGACCTCGGGTCACGAATGGTCATGAATGAGCATCGCGACGTAACTTTGGCATTAAGGTTGGACCTTACCTTATTCAATCAGTGCCAGTTGAAATAGAAGAAGAAGGGACGTAACTTATCCCCGTTTTATACGAAAAATCGCACGTATGAATCGCAATTATATCAATAATGCAAGGTACACACACAATGACCAATTTTCATTTTATTTTATCGCCGCATCACTAATTTAGCTTGTCCCGATTTCTTTTCGCAAAGAATATAGTGGATTGCGAGTTTCTCTCCGTTGAATTGTTTTTGTTTGTCCGTACCATATAAAGTTTGTATACAATCTATGACAATTCGGTACAGAATTGAGAGTCTCTGTTTATGCTATTTTTAACTACTTCCCCTCTCACGCCGCTTACGGATTTTCCATGACCATGATGTATAGAATTAAAAAGATCCTTGTAATCGAGGAGTAAAAATTTCTTTGATTTGATTGGTCGATTCAATGCTACTCTACCCCACGAGTAGGATTTTTGAACGCACCCTAAATCGAACATGCGCAAACGATGTTTTCATTCTACGCATGTGGTTAATTTATTCGTTCTGTTTTAGAGAATTAGATTTTCTCATCGAGTATTCTTTCTCCATCTATGAAAAAACTAAACTAACTTTCCCGCTCAAGTAAAACTGATTAGGAGCGTTCTGTAATGCGTCATCTACAATGGCAGTAGGCAGTACAGAGTGAGGAGTAAGATTTTAAGGCCGGTATTCATAGTCAGTTCTTATTTCAAGACCGCCTTAAGTAATGTCTTAAGATGCTAATACGGTTCTGTGATTGGTTTAGGACATCTTAAGATTATGCTTAAGACGGTCTTAAATATAAAAACTGACTATGAATACCGGCCTAAGAGTTGGTTTTAAGAGCAAATGGAAATTGCCCATTTCGTTATTCCCGATCTTTACGTCACTAAAAACAGTATACTCTCCTACTCCTACAGCTTTGTTACTGCCATTGTAGAATGCCCTTAAGGCCCGTCTACAATGGCAGTAACAAGGCTAGGATGCCCTTTGGACGTCCTAAGGACATCCTTGTGCTGTCTGGGTTGAGAAGTGAGTTTAGAAGCTTTATAAAAAAGATTTTACTATGCAAAATTTTGCACACCGAAATGTTTTTTACTAGGCTTCTAAATACATTTTTAAACGTTCACTTGTATTCTTTCATGCATTTCCGAGTGGAGAAGTATTTTATCTTATTTTGTGTGTGTGTGTGTGCACGTACACATTGCAAAACTTTTATATTAAGCAAATATATAATCATTATGGCCGGTAAAACAGGACGGTCCGGCATCCTCTTAAAGACCGGTGGTATAGTATCTCGTCGGTGACATTATTTACAGTGATCGGTGAGCTTAGCATGTTTGACAATCAGGTTTTTCTGCGTCCATAAAATCCGAAGTAAGTTAAAGTCGTTTACATGATGATATAATGGCAATTGTGCAAATTCATATATTTACACACATATATATACACACACCACACATATACAGGATGTCCCAAAATTAAACCGACAAACTTCAAGTGGTTATAAATACCGAAACAAACCAATTTTGTTAATAAACTCGTATTCGCAAATGAGATGTTTTGGCATTAGAGAATCAAAGACTAATAAGGGCAAAATTTTTTGGAAAAAATTACTTTTTCAAAATTTTAATAATGTGGGTAAGTAAAGATGTGTTTTTACCATGAAACTTTTGTATAAAATATTTTTGGTATTTTAAATAATTTTCGAGATATATCGTGAAAAGCAGAAAGCTGCTCTACATGCGAGGGGTGACTTCATCCCTTAGAATCATTTTTGGGCCGCAATTGAAAATTTCTATCCCCCCCCCCCCCCCCATATGTGTGTACAGTTTCATCAAAATCAAAATTTTCGGATCTGCGACGTTCCCTTGTTAGTCTTTGATTCTCTAAGTGCCAAAACGGCTCATTTGCGGACACGGGTTTGTTGGCAAAATTGGCTTGTTTAGGCCGTGTTCCGATATTCACTGCCAGTACTGAAAATCTATAGTTTACGTCATATATACTATAGATTTTCAGTACTGGCAGTGAATATCGGAACACGGCTTATGTTATCCTTTATATCTTTATAACCACATAAAGTTTGTCAGTCTGGGACATCCTGTATATATAAGCATGTGCATGATATATGTATGCATGTTATTAAAATGTAATAATATAAAAAATGTAGTTTTTATATACAAAAATTATTTTTAAAAAATTTTCGTTTTTTTCCTTTTTATCTTTGTGATTATTAACATTTTTTTTATATATATGCAAATATTTCGTATGATTATAATGAGGACTAATATAATATAATATATGTCTCAAGTCAGATCATGCGCAGTAACAATGAAATGGACTATTATATACATTACATACATTACACTGCATATCGAAACTTAACGCATCGATAATAAAGTTTCGTAAAAAATTATACTTTTTTTCGCTGATGAGTAGCTTTAGTAATCTCAGATTTCCAATGTTTGACTTTTTAATGACAGTAATAATGAAAAAAATGCGCATATACGCCCATCAGCAATACGTGGAAAAACACTTCAACTTTATTGTTGTACACACAGCGTATCTATAATAATGATTACTCTTAACTCACAATTATTTTTATTTCATAACAATCAATAATAAAGATATATATGTAGAATCCACACTTATATATAACAATAAAGAGATGATAGTAAAAAAAATATAATATTTAAATATTATACAATTAAATTCATATCTCTATTAATCATAACGTTATAAGAAAATATTAAAATATTTTTGCAATATAATAAAGTTTGTAAACTAAATTTAATTCTATATATATGATAAATATATTATTTATATATTATTTTAATCTTCTATAAGAGTTAAAAAACCTTTTTATTCACATTTATATTTATAATAATGCTAAAAATATTCTCGCAATGTATTATACGCACATTTTTTAATAAATATCATATTATTAAATTATGAAATTATTAAGTGTGATGAGAGAGAGAAGAGAGAGAGAGAGAGAGAGATAGAGAGAGAGAGAGAGAGAGAGTTCTTATAAAAGAAGTTAAAAAAGTAGATATTTAAATTTGGAACATTAAATCTTTATTTACAAAAAAATATATATACGTATATTTTATTTATTATAAAGCTCTTATACGTATAACAGAAAATTCAATTCTAATTCTCGTGTTATAGCTAGAATGCTTGTCACGCGTTTGTTACAAAATTTTATCAGCATTTCGTCACGCGAGTAGCTACGTAACTTTTATTATCCACACGTGAAGAATATTTCACAAGGGTTGCATAATTTGTTGTTCTACGGTTTTTTTTTCAATATATATATAGTTTGATTTTATATCACTAGCTCGTCCAAAGTTTATTTGCATATATGTATAATATAATATTATACACACACAAACATACATACATACGTAATATACATATATACGTAAATATACATATATGGATTGAGATTTGTTATTAATATAAAAATTTTATAGTATATAGTATAAAAATTTTAGAAAATCGAAAAAAAATAGAATATTTGAATGATTTTGTAAACGCTCGATTTTATGCGGGAATCATTTTAATTAAACAACGAAACGTGAGTACGTGTTATTTCAAAGAGGATCGAAATGTAAATATTGGTCACGGTGATATAAATTATAAATGTTCGTACATGCGGTTTATAAAAAACGCACATTTTTGTATGCTAATCGTTACGCTAAAACCGGTTGGATTGAGAAAGATTGTTACGTGAAAGGTGGAGAACCTTTCCCTTTGCGAGACACGTTAGCTCAAAACTGCGCAATATCAAATTCACAAGTATTGCGACATCAAATTGTTTCGCTGTTGAACGAAACGATTCTCATATATCAGTTTTATCAGCCAAGAGATACATTTAAGAAAAAATATGCGCGATGAATGCAATTGATTACTTTCAGATTTTTTAATATATAATAATAAGGATAATTTATTTTAAATAAAGTAAAAGAAAATATTATTACGCAATTATATCCTTTAATAATTTCATTACCTTAAAATAAGTTAAGATCATCTTAAAAATCACCTTTCATTCAAATTCAAATTATCATTTCATCACCTTAAAAATTGTTATTCAATAACATTTATATTTTAATCTAATGCATGTACATAAAAGATACCGAGTTTCTCACATACTTGAGGAAAATATCAAAATCGAGTTTTCGATTATAAGCAATTGAGAAACACGTCTTATTATATTACTTGTTACATTCCGTTTTATTATGGCAATGTTACAGTTATGTATCTGTGTTTGCTGGGTTATTACTGTAATTGGTCTTAGTTTTGCCGTCAAACAAACGTCAGAAAATGACGTCTCGTGGATGTGACATATCAACGAGACATTTTTGGGTCTCATGAGACCTAACTTTGGATGTCTATTGGTCATTTAGTGACCAAAATTTAGTGTCATCGTGACGTCAGTTTGCTACTTGGGTGGACTATTACATGACTGTAACAATCATATAACATTTTAGTAACATGTTATATTCATGTTATATAACTGCAATTTTGTATGAGTGGGAAATTACAACTAACGTGAATGTTACATGTAACAAATACGTTATATTACTTGTTACATTCCGTTTTATTATGGCAATGTTACAGTTATGTATCTGTGTTTGCTGGGTTATAAGCAATTGAGAAACACGTCTTATCGTGAATTAAACTTTTACTTTGATAAAATTTTTATTTAAGGCTTACGAAAATCTTGAAAATATTAAGAAATTTTGATAAGCGATCGTTGTTGAGGAAGAACCAACACTTTAGATTTTGATAAATATACATGATATGAATGATAGAATTTTAATATCGGATACTGTGGAATATATTGAAAAAAAAATATATTCTGTGCATTTTGATTAATATCCAACTGTTTCTTTCTTCCTGTTATTGCACGTACATTGCACGTACTAATGTATAGTGTATGATAAGCCAGTGGAATATTTTACGTTATATAAATAAAGGTGCGCAAATGAGTGCCGATGACTTTTTTGTGCCGCTTGAATGTATAATGACCAAGAAGCATAATCGCGAGTATTAATAACTTGAAACTCGGAAATTTCTTCTTGCGAACGAAAAAAAAAAAAAGTAAGATGACCACTACACTGCTTTACGGCAATATCGTTATACGAGATCTCTGTGTATTCCAATGCTTAAACACGCATACAACGCAACGCAACACGTACAAGCGATTAATTCCGCCTGTCAGAGGAGAACGGCTCTTTCATAAATAATACCGTTCGTTTGTTCCCTACCGTATTTTTTTAAAAGGACTATTTTTTTATGATAATATATCGAGACGTGCTTACCCGGCATCGCAGACATTAAAAAAATTCAGTATCAAGTAATAAGCGAGAACTCGAGATAAGGATTTAACACGGTAGTTTGTATTTTTCTCGCTTTATCTCTTGAAAGATTTCTCGATCGACGCATCTAAGCCTATCGTTTGATATTTCAACATCATTTAACGGGCCGGGAGATTTCTCTCGCCTTATCACTGTTATAAAGACAAGGAAAATAAACGTCATTGGCCGCGCAACATTGATGTATCTTAGCGAGAACACATGAGAGAGATAGATCATGTATCGCTACACGATCACAAGCGCACGCCGGGAGGCCATACACAGCCGGTTATTATGCCGCAGATAATATGGCTCTCGAAGGTAATTAATACTATTGTTATGATTCCGACAGGTACGTCATGTCCGTGTACCTTGACTAGGCGATTCTTCAGTCTTCGCTTGGAGCTCGTAATGGACACAGATATTGGTGCGATCTTCTCTTAGCGTCTTCCGAGAAATGCACACATGTATTCACCGACTGTCGTTTTAAGGAAATAATTCATCACTTGTGACGACACGTTTCAAATTGTGCAATTTTCAGTTGGAATAAAAATCGGTATCGGGGTGCAATTATAAATTTCCAAACGATTGGGTTCTCGCGCGACCGTGCACGCAGAAATCTGTATCAACAGTAAATAAGAGTGAATTGTGTACGATGTAACGTACCTTGACATACCTGCATATCTTGAGTCGCTTAATGTCTTTCGAAAGTGAACCGACAAATACAGAAGTAATGCGTAAACATTCGGAGAGATAAACAATATATAAATGATATTTTTCGTTGTACATATAACTAGCTAAATCGCTATTTGGGATAAATCCGTCTAAGATGAGCACTTTTGTCGATGGTGTCCCGCACGAGAAGGCAAATATCATGGAGAACGCGAGATTAAACGCGAATACCCACGCGCTCAGCGATACAGGAGAAGATGTGATGAAAGGCAAATTCAATAAATCAACTCAGAGCGATATCTCGGCTTGGAAGTTTTCCTATGGAAGCAGACAAAGATCCAGACCGACATCTCTCGCGTACTTGTCGGCGAAGCAATTTCAGATGAGCGAGTCGAGTTTTTCCACGAATAGCTCGAGGAGTACACTATATCCGGTTCAGAGCGAATTGGTCTTATCGCCTAAAAACAGATACAACAACAACAGATATGTATCTCTAGATATGAGATCGATCAACAGCCTCCCGTATTCATCCTCGAACAACCACATCTTAGGTAGTAATAATACGCCGTACACGTGTTGCTGTACATGTCCGCAGATCCCGCCGGTGATACCGTCTTCGCAACACTCTGACGAGCAGGACGGGCCCGAGAATCTCTCATGGAGGAGACTCCACATGAGCAGGGCTAAATTGAAAGCAACTGCAACCACATCCGAGCTACTTAGTGGGTTTGCAATGGTATAAACATGATTATATATAATTATCATATATAAATAATATTAAGATATTTAATCCATTATCCGCCACTTTGTCACATTTCTGCGACTTTCTTTGGGATCCCTATTCATGAAAAATAATTTAGATCGATATTATCATGCACTCGATTATGTAAAAATTACAAACATTTGGTATGATCTATATAAATCATAAAAAAATAATATGGAGAGCACACATGTGGAAAGAAGGCAAAGAGAATTTACTCTAAATATTTTATCAAATCTGCCGTGTATTAATAAAATTCTTTTTAGATTTTTTAAAATTTTAAATAAAATTAAAAGCGTTTTATTTTTCGTTAAATCACATGGCGATTAATAGATTAATTTTCCTCGTTTACGCGTAACTCCAGATAACTCCAGATGTGATTTGGAAATCGCACACGTATCCATTTTTATTATTGATTGCGCGCATTGACAATTAAATTAATTATAAGTAAATCGTTGCAACAAGATAAATTGTATAAAATTGTATAAAATTGCAATTCGAGAGAAAATATTAAAACAAATATTTTCTTAGTATAGAGATAAATTTTTGTAGTAATGCTTTCTCTAAGATTTATGAACGCGGAATATATTTAATAAATTGATTTCTCAAGGATTCTTTAAAAAAAATTGTTTTTCTGGAAATCCACAACTCAGAATTGGCTGTGTATGATTACACAACGTTTCCTGAAAATGGTTAAATTGACGTTGACGACAATTCTATGTAATCTTCATGCACATCTGTAGTTATATAAGACAGATATCACTTTCTTTAATCTGCTTCACTTTTCGAGATACCTGTAAACCTCTTATACGATGCTACTGACAAGTGCATCGAATTTTATGTATTTTAATTTTCTTTTCTTTTTTCTGATGATTTAGGTAGCGATGGTAGAACTGCAGATCAACGAGCCAACAGCGGTGCCGGAATGGCTATTCGTGATGTTTGCAGTTTGTACTACTTTTCTGGTATCGGTACACATCTTCGCGTTGATGATAAGCACGTATCTCTTACCCAATATCGAAGCCATAAGTAAACTCCAAGTCTCGCGTCTTATAACGGAGTCACCGCACGAGAGAATGCGCGGTTTCATCGAATTGGCTTGGGCATTTTCCACGATACTGGGACTGTTTCTCTTTTTAGTAGAGGTGGCTATTCTTTGTTGGGTCAAATTCTGGGACTATTCTTTTACCGCCGCCACTGCCAGCACTGTGATAATCATTCCTGTGCTCATAGTATTCGTCGCTTTTGCCGTTCATTTTTATCATTCTCTAGTAGTTTACAAATGTGAAAGTGTAGTATCAGATATGAAGGATCTAGAGAGTATAAAAAGAAACTTGGACAATGTGATGGGGCAAACTAACGTATAAACTCCCGAGATGTGATGTGATAATTTGATAATACATATAATCAATTATATCCTGAAAATGAAAAAAGATATATTGAACTTCAAAGATGATGAGTAAAAATTGTATCCTGTAATTTCTAGTGGTATACAAATCGATTTGCAATCGCAGATGAATACTCAGGTTAATAATGGAAAATGTTATTCAATAAAGAGAAAAAACATGATATTTTCAACGCGAGAATACAACGTAAGAAAAACACACATACAAATTTGTTATCAATAACTTTTACTTTTCAAACGCGACCACATACGAAAATGGTCAAGTTTTATTATATATAAAAAATGTACATAGCTGTACACATGCAAGTCAAGAATTGCAACAGTACAAGCAAGTGCTTTTTTTTTAATATGTTACCTATAATATATATCCAGCATTTTTAATAATATTCTGTGTATATACGGTTTAACTCTTGATTTTTATTTAAATCTGTTCATTGATCATTTTGTTTCTATCATAATATGTCATGTTATTAATATATAGTATTTTTTTTTAATCTCGTCACTTAGTTTGTGGAAAAAATGAATGACAGTTGTAAGTATTCGTTTTATATACACTTCCTGAAATTTACATAATGAGCATTTTTTTAGTACTTGTACAATCCTAGTCAATAAATAAATCATCAGACTTTAGGAAATATACAACAAAATGTGATTTGTTACATATATTGAAACAAAAATGAAGGTATACACAATTAATTTACCTCTCATTCTTACCATAAACTAAGTTGCAATCTTACTATAAACACCTTCTATAGTATTATGCCTTAATTTCTTTTGTACAAAAACATTTATATCGTTTGAAGAAGGAGTCTCGTTGTGAAAACGAATCGAGAAATAGAATTATTTTAGTATAACTAAAAAGTATTATGATCCTGTTGTATAAATTATAAATTGTATTGCATTAATCTACATTTGAAAACTTGAACGCTTTCTTAAAGATACACTCTATATCGTACTAAAAAAATTCATTGCATTCGATTAATTTGCTTAACAAATAAAATCTCTTCATGGGGGCACGACGCAATTGTTGCTAAGTCTGCGCCTTCTCTGTCGAGGTTATTCATATGTACATTGGAAGAAAAAATTTTAACATACATTACAGAACTATAAACGTTATATTATAGTGTACGTAATTTGTTAAAAAAAAATCACATACTGTCGACAAACTGATGATCTGAACACAGCTAAATGTTTTTTAAAATATAATAAAATATATATAAAATATACCATTTTACAAAAGCGTCTTTATGAGTTTTTTAATCGAATAACAAAAGTAATCAAAATATATTATTACTTATTGTGTGTGTGTGTGTGTGTGTGACATTTTATTATAAACACACACACACACACACACGCACGCACACGCACGCGCGCGCGCGCGCACGCGCACACACACACACACACACACACACGTGATTATAATAAAATGTCAAAAATGATTTATTTGATATACACATTTGTATATCAATATGAGATAACAATGGAGAATAAATTGCTTGTGCTATGGACAGGTAGACAAATAAAGAATGATAAAAATTAAAAACATTTTTACAAAATTAACGAAATGTTATTCAATGGTGTTGAAAACGCCTTCTTTAAGACTTAAGCTAAGATGTAATTGAAATAAAACTTAGTTTTTTCTATATTACTGTAGGAGCAAACAGATAAAATTTGTTCCGATCACTCTCACTAATATATTTTTTTTATCGCAGATTTCTGAAGATTGGAGAAGACCTTTCCAAAATTTTATAATAATATAATTTTTATATATTTAAGGAACTTATAAATTTTAAACTATTATTTTGATGTGTGTGTGTGTGTGTGTATATATGTGCAATTTCGTTTTTACATATATTATCATATTTAGCAAATTATTAATCTGTTGTGTGTGTGTGTACTATATGTATGTATGTGTGTATGTATGTATAATGTGTATGCGTATACTAATTTGCTAAATACAATGAGATATAAAAATAAAATTAAATTCACATCATTATTAAATATCTAGTTGATTTGTGACTATGAATATTTTACATAACTTATTTTAAAGCAAGGGACAATATGAAAGAGCATATATTATTCTACCTTCCTTAGACAATATAATATTATTATATTAGAATATATTATATTATTTCATTTAATCTAAGATACTATAAATTGATCCAAGAGAAAGGTAGAATGGAAAAAATTATTTATCTTTCAGAGAAATCACTTAATAAATTGGCTTTCGTACATATTATCTTCAGTCTTGTCCTTAAATAAACATATAAAGTCTTTTCGACAGCCTATCCATAGCAAGAGCTCGTTTAGAAAGCCTTTTTGTTTAAACAAACCTTCCTGTAATTATCTTTAACAATGCACAGTTTCATATTACATCCTACTTACACGTTGAGAATGACAATGAACTAATCTCCTCCGAAATAAAAAAAGTTTGATCAACAAATAGATAGCAAAACAAAACAGTATCGAAAAGCGTGCTATTGATTACTGCAAATCGCAAATTCGTGCCTATATGTTTATAAAAATGATGTAATAAATATATACATAATTATTTTTAGCATTATTACTTTGCTCAATCAACTTTAAACCAACTTTAAACCAAGTCACAACCTACATGTATATGTGTATTGGATTCTTATCCAAATGTTCACAAATAGTTCATAAATTATTCTATTCACATAGCTATACATATTTGCAAGTAATTTGATACCAATTGAGTATAATGAATCAAAATGATATTCTGCAATGAATTTTAACCATTGTAACCATTTGTAACTGAATTTTACAAGAGTTATTTATAGCTGTTCAATACTTTTTGTTTGATTGAAAGTAAATACCTCGAGAATCTATTAATTGTTATAATAATAGTAAAAATAAAAGACCATTTTTCACTTGTAAAATCAATCACATGATACATAGTTTTTAGCTATTATGTAGTAGCTTGAAATGACAATAATATTGATTGCATTATCTATTATATGCACAATATCTATCCATATACTCAACATCAATTTAAGACACAGAAAGAATGCCAATAATATATGTGTCATTTGGCATTCCAGAAATATTCTGAGAGGATTCTTCGACCTCTATTGTTTCGGTAAAAAGTTGTTTGCAGCGCTAACATTATACTCGTGTGACATTATGTTACATTTATAAATTATTTATGCAATATATGTATTTTTACACTAAATAAGATCGCAATGAATTGCATTGACCTTAAATCTGAATTGTCCTCCGTATTGACTTTAAAAAGAAAGTAAACGTATATTGCGCGCGCACGCGCGCATGTGTGTATAGAAAAAAACTTACTTACATTAAATGACATTGGTGAAAATAAGGATGTGAAATTATGTGGTAGTGAATTTCATGCAAGAATTTTGCCTCCAATACAGTGCAATATACAGAAAGCCATCACTCTTGTCAAACGTCCATATGTTTAGAAGGTTGTTGAGATATGAATGGTTCACTCCACATTCGACGCAAATCTCCCTGAAAAAAAAAAAAACAATTAACATATACACATAGTTTTATGTATTTTGCTTAGTACATTATATTTTGTGCAACATAACTTTTAAAAAATTTGAATCTCAAATAACAATTTTTATATGTGATGAGTTTTTTTATGTAAATTTATCGATATAAAACGTATTAAATTAAATGAATAAAAATATATATACATACACATATCTCTGTAACTAATTTACACTTTTATTAAAGTATTGTAAAAATTAAAAATAGATTTTATTATTCTTCTTTGTAGCATTGTTTCTAAACAGATATCACTTTCAATCGTTTATAATTTGAAAATTATTAATTTCTTTTCTTTTTAAGAAAATTTTTTTCTTTTTAAGAAAAAATTGATTCCAAAGATTGTGATCAAAGAATATATAAAAGTAAAAGATGATCTGTCAGATCTAAAACATATTGAATAGGATATATAAAGAATTTATATGCAGAGAAAAAAATAAATAGATACCTTCAGATATGCCATTGTGAGCAATGGCAACAAAGTGAAGGGCACAAGGTACAATAAGGCAGGCTGCGCAGCTTTGAACACCTCCGAGCTTACAGTGGCGGTAAGTAGACCAAGAAAATAACCGATCAAAGAGCAATGAAAGTAGCTAATCCGGCTGAAGTGGCGCGGCGGTGGTACCCCAGTTTCACAGCCACCAGGCAATAACTGAGTCTTCTTGTACGCATCATATCGCAGGACAAAACAGAGTAAAAGACCCGGCATAACAACGTCGCCGAGGCCCAGCATCGAGAAATGTCCAGCTTGATGCATCGACGGAAAAACCAGTTTTCCGGGTAAAGGTAGTTTTGGCGCGGCTCTCGCCACGCCGCCCAAATGTAATCTTCTAGCCACGAGACTTACTGGATTATCTGCAGGCCTAGTTGCCACCTGTTTTAAATAACAAGACATAGTTTACAATTGTGTGATATTATAATTATTACATGCGCAAAAATTGATTCTACAGAGACAGATATTAAATAGATACATTGTGCAATTGGGTTTACTCTTACTTTACAATGCATCATTGTAATAAAAATATTGCAATGCGGAGAATAGCATTATGAATTTTTATTCGAAAACAATACGTGATGCTTCTTATTGTGTACAATGTATATATACAGTAAGATTTGCAAAACTCACCTTAACCATTACGTTTGTGCTGAATATGTAGGATGAAAAGAAAACCCAAAAGACATCGTAGATCAGCAGCCCGGTTAATAACAACGTGGATACCTTGAGACTAGGTAGTCGAACAAATGCGATAAATGCTACACACAGGCCCATGCCCATTGCATCCATCAGCAGCCAATGTCCGGTCAAGACCCAGATGCATACTATACTCACACTGAGCGAAAACGACAGCAGTTCCGCGCCCGTAAATCTCCCACAAACACCAAAGGATATTTTATTACCATCGGAACATGGTCTGATGATGTACTGACACATGGGTAATAAAAGAAATGCCAATGCAACTGTGGCTATAACTGCAAACAAACGACATAATTTCGATTATACGCCAAATATTTCGTATTAAATTTGTGCCGTTACCGGAGGCCTCATGATAAAGCTCATTTTAAACTGAAAATCTGCTAAACTGAAAACTTACTGGCTGTACAAATTGCGAGAAGCATCTGCATACTGTCGAAAAAGAAGAACATGACGAGTAGAGAAATGGAAGCACAGAGAGGTAGACAGAGAGCATGCATCGTATCCAGAGTTTGAACTCTTCCTCCGTTAGCACCGTCCGCATTGCCGGCGTTGCTGTTGCTCGTAATTCCAGTCAATAAATTGCTACGTTCCTTCTCCTTTTGTCTTTCCCTCGCCTCTTGTTCCATGTTCAGAGATCGGAAACTACCGTAGACTATCAGTAGGATTGATATTAGAAAAGTGGATATCCTAGATGAATCCATTATGGAATAAGCCCTGCAACAACAGTGATCGACAGATTAAATAAACTTGAGAAAGAAGAAAAGATATTGATGCAGACAAATACAGTAGTACACCAACCATTGGTAGTCGACTTGATACGTGGCCATGTTTAAGAATGCCTGGCCCTGCAGCACTCGGCGCTATGCAAAGACACCTCCGGACATTTAGATGTCTTTTGTCAAAGTGCTTCTCATTCGCACTAAACTATATCAGAGATCATCTGCTATTGGAAAAGAAAAAATAGTCACATAGAGTGTTAATCCTTAGAGATTGCACGCACGGTCATCGCAGCTGTGTCGAAAAATAAAAAATTATTGCACGAAACATACCTAGTAGGGTTCCTCGAACTCAGCATTATTGGCAAATGGAATTAGGCCTTTGGAAGCTTCGGGTCACCCTCTTGATGCGGTGCAATATAAGGAAACAGAGAGAGAATCCTACGATGAGTTTGACAGCGTTGACAGTATCGCGGATGGGAGGTCGGCGCGCGACGAAACGAAATCGAATGACATGGTTTCGCGAGTATTCGGGCTCGCGTGAAACAGTCTATCTACGAATACCGTTGTAGCGCGGTCGTAAAATCGCAATGGGATCGCACGCGATGAGCAGGAGGCGATCGTCGTACCGTGACCGTCGTCGTGTCGGGTCGTGTGGCATATCCCGCGATCGCGTCCAAGATACGTCACGGAAGACGGGGAGGACGCGTGAACGATGGACGCAAGGAAAAAACGGGGACAACGCGCGAAACGTCGACTCGCCCGGGACGCGACGCCGTAGGCAGGACCGCGAGGTACACGCGTCGAGACGAGGCGTGCACTGACATACACAGTCGAAACAGCTGATCTCGGGGGGGAGCCTATTTACACGTTCGAGCGTCGCGCGGCCGTTTCTGTGCGGGACAGACGGGATCGCGTAGAGTCGTCCGTAGCGCACGGACGTTCACCATTTTGGTAAACACACGGGTCACGTGACCTCGTTGGCCCCCGAGAGATATCGCTCTCTACTCCCTTACCCTCGTAGATCATAAGTGAGATTTTCCTCCTCGCGATTCGCACGCTCCGCTTCGACTATCTCACCTGGGCGATCCGAAGTCTGGGGCCCTTATGCGGGACGTCGCATCACCTCATGAGTCCACCACATATCGTCCTGCGAACGAGAGGAGATATGGGATCGTACGACGAGACGATGACGATGATGATAACGACGACGATGATACCGGACGATACGTTGAATATCTATCGGCACGCGAGAGAACGGTCCACCATACTACGTACAGTACAGTACATGTACCATAGTGTACTACAGTGTACTATAGAGTGTACTACAGTGTACTACTGTACGGGGTTTAACTGCTGCTTGACAGGCGCAGATGTGCCGCAAGCGCGTCCATTAGTCGTTTGAAAAATGCCTCGCCTACTTTTAATCAGGGCAAAGAATTTTGTGTTTTTAAAGCCAAAATAACATGTTAATCAGAATGTATACTATATATATTATTTATATTATTAATATTAATGTGTTATTAATATTAATCAGATTCAAATCTTAATCACTCTCAGATCATCGAAAGATTGCAGAAACGTTGCATAGATCTTACATTGAAACATTGTAATATTGCATGGAAGTTGCGAAATATTTCTGCAATGTTACTGTAAGCCTGCGGCAACGTTGAAATGTCCGCCCTTAAAAATATTACAATGTAAGACTACATAGTAATATTACGATGCAATGTATTTGTAATATTGAAATGCGTTGCTACAAATATGCAAAACGCTTCAGATTTAATAGATAAATTTTGAGAATATATAAAGATATCCAACCCAGACAGCACAAGGATGTCCTTAGGACGTCCAAAGGGCATCCAGGACATACATGTAGCGAAAGTAATCATGTATGCATATTAAATTTTCATAAAATATATTTATAATAATATCTTAAAACATCCTACAAATATCCTGAACCATCCTGGACATATTCAGGATGATCCTGAGGACGTTTTGTGCTGTCTGGGAAGAGAGATAAGAAAAAAAGATTGTGAATTTACGCAATTATAATGAGTTTTTTATCGTCTCTCTTGGAAAGGTGGAGGTAAATTGGGTCAAACTGAGTCGAAAAGTCCCGAACCATTTTTTTTTATAACGCTTAATAAAGGAGTTATTATTGAGTAAAGTCTGGCCACTTAGCGTCAATCTTTAGCCGGGCGCACGTCGGTCGTCGGTGAGCCGCGCGCCTGGAGCGCTATTCTGTACATGGCTTTCTATAATTAACATCGCTATTTTATAAATAATTTACAAATTTAAGAAATTGATAATGATTAAATAATTTGATTCATAAAAGTTAAAATTTTATTTATATAAATATTAAACTATTTTACATCTTAAGTAAACAATAAACGGATAATTTTAACGTTTTCGGACATTTATTTGTCCGATTTCTAAACAATCAGTTCAATATCTGAATTCTCTGTGTTGGAATTGTATCAGATAAATTAAACTGATAAAAATAGTTATATCTGTAATCTTACTAGCCGCTCTTTGCAAGCTTTATATAATCATCATGACTAAAACTTAAATCCGGGATAGATAACGCAATGCGCGCCGCATAGCAGTAAACGAACAAACTAGCGATAACCGAAAATTGTTTTTTGTAATGCTTTTGGAATGTTGCTATAACATTCTCATGAAATATTACAATTACATGTTCCAATAATGTTTCAACAATATTACATTGCAACTTGCAAAATTGTAATATTACTGCAATATAATTGCAATGTTCCGTGCTGTATGGGGAGTAATCAAACACTTCTGCTTCTCTCGAAGCCCCAACATCGCCCCAAAAGACCTTTTTAAAGACCTTCTTTAAAAAATATTTTTTCTTAAAAAATTACAAAAAATATTCTTTACTTGAAAAATATTCAATAAAAAAAAAAAATAGTTTCTTAAAAAACTTTTTAAAATGGTTTCTCTCTTAAAAATTAATTTAATAATTTTGTCAGCATATAAAATAATAAAATGTATATATAAATCAATTGATGAGCGAATATACGCTTATTTATACACACTAGAACAACACAGGCGCGCGCTTTTATTTACGGACATTTTCCAACTTTTGCTTCCTCATAGAGGAAGCTTTGTTTTCGTAACAAAATTTTTTTTCGAGTTTTCTATGCCAATGTGTTTAGAATATTCTAAAACGACGAAAAATCATATTTCTTAAAAATGTCTGTATGTATGTATGTATGTGTGTGTATGTGTGTGTGTACGCAATATATTGTACATAGATATAGTATATTTAGACCGAGTGTTGAGGAGTGGGCGCCAAGATGCACGTAGAAAAGGACGTACTCTGTTCTGTTCTCTCTCGCTCGCATGTAGCATAGCGAAAGAAAACGCTGTGTTACGTACGAGCGAGAGAGAACGCAAAGGGCACGAAACAGAGTATGTCTTTTTCTACAAGCATTTTTACCCTCACTCCTTAAATAAAGGCAAACGCTCGGTCTAGATATATTATGTCTATGATATTGTACAACCTCTAACTTCCGTCATTTTTGAGATATCGGACTAAATTTTTTTTACATGGATAGAGTATTAAAAAAGGATGGTTGGTATTGAATTTGGTGAGAATTGATGAAAAGGTTCATTTTTTATAAAATTTTTAATTTTTTGAGAAATGCCTGTGCACGCTGTAACTTTCGGAAAATTTGAGATATTGGGTTAAATTTTTTTACATGAATAGAATATTATTAAAGGATGGTTAGTATTGAATTTAGTGAGGATCGGTGAAAGAATTTATTTTTTATAAAATTTTGAATTTTTTGAGAAATGTCTGTACATATCCTAACTTTCGCAAATTTTAAGATATCGAGTTAAATTTTTTAATATGAATAGAGTATCACTAAAGGATGGTTGGTATTGAATTTGGTGAGGCAAAGCTTCCTCTATGAGGAAGCAAAAATTGAAAAACTCTTTTGCTTTAAGGATCTTAAGCTTTGTAAGGAAGCTTTATGAGGAAAAGTGCAAGTTTCTAATTTGCACAATTTTCAACTTGTTTTTTCCATAACTTTAACTTTTTCTTTCACAAACTCAAACTGTCAAAATTCGCATGATTTGACAGTCGCAAATAATACAAAATGAAGTAATCCTAACAACACACATGTCTAGAGGATATCCAGAGGTCATCCAGAGATCATCCAGAGAATGTTTAACATCCTCTGGATGTCCTTTGGACATGTGTGTTGTTAGAGAAGTCACAGCGCACAAACGATACAGCCAATTAGCATCACAGAGAAAAGGTTTCAACGCTTCAATATATTCGAGTTCGAGGATTCACACCTTTTTCAGAAAGAAATAGTTGTCTCGAAACTTTCAAATTAATTATATTTACATCAATTGGAAATCTTACTATCGCCAACAGTCATACCACGTTGTAAAAAGCACCAGTTCTCGTCCAATAATCTAACAAAAGATATAACGAAACTAAGAGTTAGTAATATGCCAAAACCTTTAAATATGAAGTATCTTATCAAAAATTAAATATCTTTTATAAGACATTAATTTAGATAACATGTCTTTTGTTATGTTGTAGTTTAAAGTTCCTGCCTCACGAGCTCAACCTTCAGCTTCTTATAATTATTATAATTGCACGCTTTCGCTTTAATGCTAAATTACAATATTCGTGTTTTCTTTTTACAATTTGTTAAATGAACGAGAACTGGTGCTTTACAACATGGTATAACTGTTGGCGATAGTAACGTTTCCAATTGATGCAGATATAATTAATTTGAAAATTTCGAGACAACTATAAATAAAAAGTAGATTTCATTATCACAAAATAATTTAAGCATGTATTTAAAAAAAAATATTGATATTGGTGAGATTTAAATTAGCAAAAAAAAGAGTGCCAACGGTACATGATGTTCCCAAGCGGTCACCCATCTAAGTACTGACCATGCTCAACGTTGCTTAACTTCTGTGATCGGACGAGAACTGATGCTTTACGTTTTTTTTTTAAATTCGTTTCTTAATAACCATTACAAACAATCGGATTTTTGTATTACAATAAACCAGTAATCGGCTTTATACTAGGATTAACTCGACGGCCAGTTTGGCACTCGCAAGTCACACAATATATTTTAAAGAATTGTAGGACCGTAAGGCTTGAAAACGTAAAGTATATACCGTTTCATATATACAAAATAAATAAATATATAAAATAAACTACAAAGTAATAACACAAACTAAACAAAAGAAATAAATAAAATAAAATAAAATGAAATGTTAACTAAAAAGAAAAATTTCTGTATTTTAATACTGGAATTTTTAATTCAAATGCGCTATTCTATGACTTAGTTATTAATATCACTACGTTCTTGAGCCTATCTTAAATACTACTATCGATGCGCTGGTTAAGCGCTGTACGCTATCACAGTGATATGCTTAATTACTAATATCACAGTATCGACTGATCATTATGCTTAATTACTAATATCACAGTATCAACTGAATGTTATGCTTAATTACTAATATTACAGTATCGACTGATCGTTATCATCATAGCGTCACCAATATTTTTCTTGCTCTTTAGTGAGGTATTCGTCATTTATATCCCTATCAGGTAAGTCTAAACTATACTTTAAATATATATCTGTATTACTACTATTTATATTCGGAGGGTAATTAATAATCTTTTGATTCTTACGTCTAGCTATATGATAAATTAATGTAACCATTTTTTTATCTTGAATGTAACCAAGTCTGTCAAGGTAGGGAAATGCCTTTTTTTTTGAAAGTCGAGCAACTACGTTCTTTTATAATTTCTGATTTTGGAATTTACATTCGCTACGATGGCTTTAATTTTATATTTTGATTGTGTTGTCATATCAATGAAGGTTAATCGTCTTTACTAAAGAACTTCACGATAAGATTCGCGAGTGTGTCTAATCTATTATTAATCATTTCAATGCTGTTCTCTAGTTTATCTGAACCTGGATTGAATTTGAGATACACCTTCATGAATCTTGTTCTGTCATTCGCACGTGCCTCTGTCTGAATGACCGGTTTTTCATATTTATT